AAAATCAAGTTCTAAGGGAAAAAGCCCAAAAAGAGCCAAGTAAGTCTTCAAGCATCGTGTCCTACCAGCTGTCCCAGCCCAGGGAACATGAACTGACTCACGGCTGGGAAACAGTTCCACCGGCACAGAGAGAACCTGAGAACCTGGTTTCTAGCAGAATGGGAATTACAGAGCCCCAGAAAAAGAGGGAACTAGTTTATAAATACATCAATAAAATAAAATTTAAAAATCAATAAAAATTAAATATAATGTCTGATAAGGGGGGTTGGATGAAAGGACAGAGTTGAAGTACTCGGTAAGACGGCTCTGAGGGCGGACAGGGTAGACTGGCCCTCACTCCAGCGCCCTTGGGTTCACTGCCCAAGTGAGGGTGTAAGTCCTCCTTCCAGGGTACACCTGCCAGCCAATTAAGGAGACAGATGGGACCCTGAGGGGAACCACTACCAAAAACTAAAAATACAGCAAGATATAAAAAAGCATAAAAGGCAAAGACAAAGTCCCACGAGAAGTGTAAGCGGGGAGGACGATGAGCCTGTCTCCCTCACCCGGATGCAGGGGCCGGGCCAGGACCTTGGAACGGACACCGGCTCCTTTCCCCTGCTGCCCAGCAAGTGCTGTCGGGTGGACAGACCTGGCCACGCCTCCCCCCACCCCGGGGACAAAGCTTCCAAATGTCGCCTGCACCTCCCCTCCCCCTGCACCCATGCCCGGCCCCAGGAGTTCGCAAAACTTCTCTGGACCAGCCCAGAGCCTTCCGCCCTTGCCACCTGGGTCCCGCCGCTGGTCCGGCCCTGCAGCTTCCCTGTCCTACGGGCAGACCTCCGCCCAGGGCCACAGATGACCGCCCCGGGAGAGAACCGACGACCTGGGACTGGGCGGGGGCTTCTCCCCACGGCGGGAGCCTCCGGAGCGGCCTGTGCTGGTGCCCGGGTCTGCGGGGCCCCGGGGGTGTGCTGAGCTCCGACGCGGGGGGTGGCGCGCACAGCCCTGCGCCCGGCCAGCTAGAGCTTCGCCTCTGCTCCCCAGGTCCCCGCTGGCATTCGCTGTACGTGTCCCCGCTCCCCCGCCCCCAGACCCCGCGGCCCCGCGCGGCCACCGGGCGGCAGCACTGAGGCCACCCCAGGGCTGGGGCTGCGAGAGCCGGTGGGGGCCGCTTGGACGCGACCACCGCCCTCTCCGGGGGAAACGCGCAAAAGGCGCCCACAGCGCCTGAAAACCTGAAACCCTCTGAGGTGGGCCTACGCCATCTCTACCCTAAGGCCCGTCCCAGCTCAGCGTCCTGGAGCAAGGTGGTGACCAGGGCAGGGGGGCCGAGAACTCAGCGCCCCTGTCACCCTGAGAGAGTTCTCCCCGCCGTCCAGAGCCTTTGACGGATTCCACTGGGTGAGCTCATGCGTGGAGACTCCCACACATCCCGTCTTCCCAGCAGATCCTGGGCCCTGGAGTCCAGGACAAATCCAGGGAGGCGTCGTGATTCTCCTGGCAGGAAGAGCATCCAGGACTTCGGGGCCCATGGGGTGAGCAGGTGTGCAAGCGTTGGATGGGAGTGTGTACAAGTGTGCGTGACGGCTGCTGCAGGCCTCCCACAGAGCTGAAGTCACGTCCAGCTGCAGGGGACCAGCTACGTGACCCTCCCTGGGAGCCACGTACTTTCTCCGAGGCCATCCCTCCTCTGGAGCAAGGAGATGGGAATGCCGACCTGCCGGGATGCCTGCTGCGAGGGGCACAGGGCAGGTGCTCAGAAATGTGGGCTGAATTAAGAACCAGGAGGTGGCAGATTGGGGGCTCAGGGAGAACTGTTATTGGAAGTGGCCGGCACAGAACTGACCCAGCCCCGCCAGCCTCCCTAGGTCCCAGGGTGAAAATGGCTGGGGGAGGCCAGTGGGGGCTGGAGACAGATTTATTAGAGGCCTCAGGCAAATCCACAGGGTCCCCTCCATCCTACTGCCACCCCCAACCCAAGAGTCCCGCCGGCCCACTGGCGACCGCCATGTCCCGCTGAGGCTGTGCTACAAGAGATTGACCTTGGCCACCACCTGCTTGCAACCGGAGACGGCGAACTCCCGGCCAGCGACGCGGTAGTAGCTGAGCTGCGCCGCCAGGAGCTCGGCGCGGGCCTGCTCCGGGAAGAAGCCCTCCGCGGCCATCTCCTCGCGGAAGCAGCTGACCACGTCCTGCTTGTCCAGCAGCAGGAAGGGCACGATGGCCGCGGCCTGCCACAGCGGGTGCTCGCGGACCAGGAGCGCCCGAAGGCCGGCGCGCAGCTCCTCCTCGGCGCGCAGCGCGGCCGCCCCGTCCGGATCCCCGTCGGGGCGCCGGGGCCGCGCGCTGGACGCGTTGCGCAGCACGAAGCGCGTGATGTCGGCGCCGCCTGCGCTGCTGAGGAGCACGTAAACCGCGTTGTGGAAGTGGTGGGCCCGCTGCGGCTGCAGGAGGCTCCGCAGCTCGTCCAGCAGCTCCCGCGGCATCAGCTCGGCCTCGTCCAGCACCACGAGCGGGGTCTTCTCCTCCACCTCGGCCCGCGCCACCACGTCGGCCACCAGCCCGGCCAGCTGCTCGCGGCAGGCCTGCGCCGCCCGCGGCTCGGGGCAGTGGTGCCGCGCGTGGTACTGCAGCACCAGCGCGCCGTCCTCGAGGACCGCGCGGAAGTGGCGCGCCAGCAGGCGGCCCACGTGGCTCTTGCCCACGCCGCTGGGCCCGTGCAGCGCCAGAAGCAGCGGGCGGCTGTGTACGTGCGTGGCCAGGTAGTCCCGCAGCAGCGCCACGATGCGCCCCACGGCGGCCGGCTGCCCGAACACGGCGCGCTGCAGCGCCTTCTCCAGCCCGTCGAGGTCGTAGCGCTGCGCGTTATCATCCAGGTTCTCGATGGCGTTGAGCACCTGGAAGCCCACGACGGCCACCAGTAACACCAGGCAACGCTGCGCGCGGCTCCGGCGCTCGGCGTGAGGCCGGCACTTGCGCGAGGGCTCCGGGTAGAGCACCACGCGGCTGCGCCGGCGCCTCTTGCGCGGCGTCCTGGAGTGCAGCTCCGCCGGGCCGTCGAAGGTGAAGAACTGCGGCCGGTCCCAGTCGGCGCGCGGCGTCCCCGAGCTGCAGCCGGCTCCGGCCGCTCCAGCCCCGGAGGCCGACCCCGCACCCGGCGGCAGGAGGCGCCGCTTGCGCAGGAGGCACACGCGGCGACGCAGGCGGACCACGGCGCGCAGCGGCGCGATCACGCTCGGGCGGGGGATGCTGGGGCCCGCGGCCGCGGGCTCCAGACTGGCCTGGCCGCCGTCCATGGCGCCGAGGCGGCGCTCGGCATGCAGGTCGCCCTCCCTGCAACAGGAAGATGGAGAGGGTCTCCAGACTTCCGCCCGGCCAACTGGGACCCTTCCCCAGAATGACCTCACCTCTCTGGGAGGTCCCCAGGGAGCGCGGCGGGGTCGGGGGTAAGGGGGGGTGGTCCCGGTGCCGGCCTCGCAGAGCCTGGGTCTCGCCCCGCTGACCAGGAAGCGGCTCCCCGCAGGGCCCCAATGCAAATCTCCCATAAACAGCCGCCGGCCTTGAGGAAGTGGCGGAGGGGGGAGGGCGCCGCTTATCGGGAAGCCAGCCGGCTTCCTGGAGGAGAAGTCGGTGCCAACGAGGCGCCGATTAGGGTGAAGAAGGGTCAAGGCGCGATCCCGCTGCCCGCCCACGGGTCCGACCGCCAGGCGCCAGGGGCCCTCCGAATCCCAAGTGGGAACCAAGAGAAGCAGAGGCCCAAGCGCCCCTAGAGTCCGGAGACCTCCCCCCTACACTAAAAAACGCTTGAAGGGGGAGGGGGGGGATCTGGCCAGAACTTCTGTTGAGAATGGGCCCAGGCCTCATTCCCCCAAACTGGGAACCTCCCAACATCCCTCCAGTGAACACACTGATGGAATGGCCAGCAGGGAGCCCCCCAGAGACTAGCGGGGTGGAAAGATGGACAAAAAGAGCCAGAGAAGGAGAGCAAGAGCCACCGGGGAGAAGAGAGCTGAAGAAAGGCAGGACGGTTGTCCCTGGCCCCCCACCCGCCCCATACCTGCAGCTGTCAGGTTAAGCTCCTGCTGGCCCCCCAGCCCACCAAGGGCAGCCCCCTGCGCAGGCCAGATGCTGGGGCTGCAACTCAGGACACAGAAAACACCAGGGTCCTGGGGATGGTCCCAGAGGGGTCAGGGGTCTGGCCCGGCCAGCTCGGGCCTGGAGGGGGAGCAACACCTGCGAGTCCCTGGGGAGCGTGAGGGGAGGAAGCACTGGGAGGTTTCCGCTTGTAGGCAAAGGAAGTGAGTCAGGGGTGTGGCAGAAGGGCGGGACTTCGGCTGGAGGGAGGCGCCAGAGGGGGAGGTCTGGCTGGCTGGCCCAGGTCCTTCGGCCCTCGGGTCACCTGTCCTCCTGGGCCCTGAAACCCTCCTGGCTCGTCCTTGTCTCCCGGTAAGGCTGGGGGAGCATCCCCTCCCCTGGGATCCCACAGCCCCTTGCATGTCAGCCTGTCCTCCACAGAACTCTTACTTCCCCAGGGACATCTCCTGCGCCTGACCCTGCACAGGGAGGGCAGCAGGGCAAGAGCAGAGGAGACCATGTGCCTAGTGAGGTCTCCCCAGTCCCTCATTCTTCCCCTCCCCTGGCCCCAACCTAGGGGCTCCCAGAGTAGAGCTCCTTTCCTTCTCCTCCCACCTCTCCTCCTCTTCCAGGGCCTCCCTTCCCTCCATCCCCCTTTCCCTTCTACCCAACCCCCCAGAGCCCTCCCACCCCAAGGACAGTTGAGCACACTGGGACAGAAATTCTAGAACTGGGGGAAGACCCGCAGGCATAGGTCAGTGTCCTGGTCAGGGAGCAAATTTAGAAAAAACTAAGGCAGGTGGGGGTTCCCGTGTCCCTGCCCAACCCTACTCCCATCCCTGCACAGATGGGCCTGAGTGACCCTCTGCTCTTCCCATTCCGACCAAGGGAGGCACCGTGCCTTGGCCCACGCTTGTCTGCCGCCCTCCCGAAGAGTGAGTTCATCAACCCGTAGTGAGCCCAGGCTAGTCTGGCCCTGTGTCCCTCTGACACCACAGTCCAGCGTCCCTTGGCTGTCCTGCTGTGGCCCCCAATCTTGTGCTCATAGCCCCCCATCCGTCCTCAGCCTCCCTTTGTCCACACGGGCTCCCTGCCCAGCACACTGCCCCTGCCACCCCCCCGGCCCCTTCCCTGTGACCAGCAGGCACGACCAGCATCCGGGAAACGTGGCTCTTGGGCTTGGGAGCTCTCATTCTGTCCGAAATATGGGAGTTCCTGTTTGCCCATCGGTTCAGTGCCCTCGGGCAGGGTCACCACACGGAGGAAGCACAGCTTCTCCACATCCTCCTCTCCAGCTATGGGGCCTGGCTCCCCAGGACTGCCGCCCCTCTTCTGCACAGCGGCGGGTGCTTGGGGCCTTGGGCACCCAACCCACCACATAGGTGGCGGTGCTGTCAGGCTTCCTGGGACCAGGGGTGAAGGACATTATCCAGGCCCTGCCCATGTCCCATGATCCTAGCACGGGTGTGGCGGGGTGAGGTCCTGCCTGGCTCTCTAAGGAAAATGGAAGCAAATGGAAGAGGACCATCCCCACCACCTCCACCCACACTCCCTAAGGATGTCCCTCCTCCCAGGGACAGGCACGGGCATCCAGACCGTGGCCTACAGAGGCAGACATGCCCTTAAGTTGCCCACCCACCTGCCCCACAGCCAGCGCTCGGGTGTGCCCACCAACAGCTCAACCACTGGGTTTACCCAAACGCCTTTTATTTACACACGTGAGGGATGACTGTGCGCAGCAGCGCGCACGTGACCTGGACGGTGCGGCTGAGCAAGGGGCAGCCACTCCTCAGCGACACAGGGTACTCCGGCCGCTTCCCTGCCTGTGGGCCGTGGACGGGCCAGACTGTCCCATGAAACACTCGGGTGCTCCCAGAGCAGCCGGTTCCATCCGCAGATGCCCGCACCCAGCAAAGCACTGGCTGATCTGGGCCCACGGGGCTGGGCCCGCCCCTTCCCTCAGGCTTGGGTCCCCCTGCCCTCTCCCGTGCGAAAAAGGTAGCTTTTTCCTAATCCCAACTACAGCCAGTCTGTCTTCCCTACAGAAGCAGAAACTCACACCATGAGGCAGGAACGTGCCGGAAGCTCTCCACAGCCTGGGAGTGACTTCGAGGGGCCAGCTGGGCCCATCACACCCAGCGCTGTCCTCCAGGGAAGCAGCCAAGGGCCTCCGAAGAGCAAACACAGGTCCCAGGATCCAGGTCAGGGTGGGGCTGAGGCCCAGCAGCAGGATGGCCCACACAGGCCGTCCAAGGCCGGAGAGCGCTCGGCTCCAGCCAGCCCGGCCCACGAGCAGCCCATCTGCTTTCGGGAGAGACAGGGTCCCCAACACTGGAAGTCCAGGGACGCCTACTGGCCGGCCAACGTCACAGACCCGCCAGGGGCCCGGCCCGGTCCTGAGCGGCCCCCGGGAAGCCTCCCAGCCCAGCGGGAGCGGACACAGCCGGGAGGGGCAGCTCCAGCGCCTGTGTCTCCGTGGCCTGGGCCGGGCTGGGCTTCCGGTGCTCCAGCTGCTCCAGCCTCTCCCCCAGCTGAGAGTAAAGCTCCTTCACCGCCTCTCCGCTCTGTGGGGGGAAGCGTGTGGCTGTGGGGCAGGCCCCGGGGGCACTCAGGACACCTCCACGCGGGGGGGACATGCACGCAAGGAGAGGGCCGGGGCACGCACCTGGCCTGTGGGCTCCAGCGCCTTGCGCAAGGCGTCCAGCGTGGACGGCGCCACCCGGTGGTGCAGGTGGAGGAGGAGCCGCAGCACGTGCCGCTGCACACTCTCCTTCCTGGGGGAGGGGCCACGCTGCAGTGACCCAGAGCCCACCGCAGACCGCCCCCCAGCTGGGCCACACGCCCCTCCCCTGCAGCCGAGCCCCCACCACCACCCCAGGCAGGGGCACTGCGGACAGGGGCACCTGGGCGAGGCTGTGAGGAGGAAGCCGTCAAAGAGGCTCCTGCAGAAGTCCTCCAGGGCGAACTCGTCCGCCAGTAGCGCCAGGTTCCCCGTGAGCAGGTGCAGGAAGATGTCACCAAAGGCCAGGTCACCGAAGGTCTCCACTGCAAGCACAGCCCGGGTCAGCCCCCCCGCCCTGTCAGCCCTGCCCCTGGAGTGGCGCAGGGCCTGGGGCCGCAGGCCTCGTGTGCCTGCGAGCCAGAACCAGGGACCCGCACAGGCCAGGTGGACGGGGCAGGGGGCGGACAGGGGCCCCGGCCTAGGTGGTGAGGCAGGCTACGGTGTGAGGACCGGACCGGCCAGGGCAGGAGAGCCCATCACCAGTGGCTGTGACCCTTGGCCAAGCGCCACCGCCCAGCCCACGAGCTCAACCTGACGACCGGCGGCCCGGTTCTGAGAGAAAAACAACAACGGAAAGTGACTTCATGCTTCGAAGCCACCGACTCCAAAACTTAAAAGAAACAGCGGAAGCGAATACCAGAGAGCCTCACTGATAAGCAGAGACAAGAACGCCTACACGCACAGCCGACCGGGTCAGAGCCCCAGCTGGAGGGCAGGCCACAGGGGGACGCGCACACAGACACAAGTGCTGTACCAGCTGCTCAGGAAACGCCGCCAGGGCCCTCAGGGCTGACGGGGCGACGCCAGCGGCACCAAAGCGTGAGTGGACCCGGTGCTGCCGGACACAGCCGGGGTGAGCTCCTGCCCCACATCTGAGCAGACAGGACACCCAGGCAGGTCCACAGTCACGACAACAGGGGACACTGCCCACCAAGTCCCAACAAATCCCACAGAAGCCTACAGATGGTGGGAAACCCTAGAGGTAACAAGGAAACATGAGAGTTGGAAGTGATACACTTCCCGACTCGAGCAAACTACCCACAGAAGAACATCACGGGGCAGCTGGGCAATCATGAGCAGCGCCAGAACCTGGCCCCACGTAGGACCACGGCTGCATCACGGTTTCTGACAGCACCCGTCTTCTGTGGAGACACCTGCTAGGTTCCTCACAGCTGCTACGATGCGGAGTCTGGATGCACGTCCAGACCGTCTCCACGGCCTCCACGCAGGCAGGCGGCAGGCACTGAGCTCCACTGTGCAGTGCTCTGTGAGTTCATCAAAAATTCTCACAATAAAAAGCTAAAAAACAGGGATGCCTGGGTGGCTCAGTCGGTTGGGCGTCTGCCTTCGGCTCAGGTTGTGGTCCCGGGGTCCTGGGATGGAGTCCCATGTCAGGCTCCCTGCTCGGCGGGGAGCCTGCTTCTCCCTCTGCCTGCTGCTCCCCCTGCTCCTGCTCATGCTCTCTGACAAAGTCTTTTAAAAGAAGAGAAAAAGCTAAGAAAAAAAAAAAGAAAAGAATTTTTAAATTGACATCCATTCTAACACCCACTAATGCCGCAAAGGAACAAGGAAAGGCCTGCGTCCCCGCCCACTGCACAGCAGCGTGGGGCTGGGAGACACGGGCGCTCCTGAGGCAGGCAGGACACCCCTGCATCTAGCCCACGCCTGTAGACAACAGAAAGAAACAAAAGTACGGAAATGAATAGAAACAAGAAAGGCAAATTATTTGCACCTGCACTCTTAGAAGCTTCCAGAAACATACTCAAAAGCTCCAGCCTCTGTGGCCAAGAGGAGGACAGCCCAAGACGTGTCCACGCTCTGATCCAAAAGCAGTGAGGGCGCTCCCTCACGTGGTCAGAAGCCCCAGGACGGGCCTGACACCACCCAGGGGCACTCTGCTGCATGGAGGCGGCCAGGGTCAGAGGGACATGGGGTGAGAGCCACTGGGAGGGGACCTGCAAGACCCAACCAGGGGCCCAGGTGTGGGCGGGCCCTAGTAGCGGGCGACAAGGACATGGGTTCTCCCTGGAGCCTCCAGAAGGAGCCGGCCCTGCCTGCAGCTCAACTGAGGCCCTGGGAGCCTCACTTCATCCTCTGGCCTCCGATAAGAAAACAAGTTCGTGCTGTTCACTCAGATGGAAGCTGGATATAAATTAAGACCAAACAGCTTCCTTCGCAAACAGAACATGGGAAACGTGACACACGCACCATCCTCGGACCTGTCGATGACCCAGAAACAGGCTCAGCAAGGGACGGGCGACATCTCTCCAGAGCAGCCTCAACACCCCAGACGAGCCTGCGGCCAGCAGTGGACAAGCCAGGTGCTCCCGAACCCTCCCCCCTGGCTTGGCCTGCAGCTTCCTCCCAAAGGGGTCCACTCAGGCCCTGCCCTCTTCTTCCGACCAAGAAGCCACCCGCCCCACAGCACCCGTGGCCCGAGACCATCTGGGGTGGGCCCTCTCCACGGTCGCAGGGACTAGGGGGACGCCCCCCTCCCTCGCCAGGTGGGAAGAACCACAGCAGAAAGGATCCCTCCACAAATGGCGACCGTGGCAAGGGGTGTCTGAGTCTACCAGGCTGGGCTCGCCCCTGCACCAGAGCGACTCCGGAAGACCAGGGCCGCACCGAGGCGGGCGCCTGCGCACGCACCGAGCCCTGGCAGCAGGCGGAGCAGCGCGTTCTTGTTCCTCTGCTTGGTGACATGCAGCACGTAGTATAGTCCCACCTCACAGGCCATGCGCTGCTCCTGCAGGAACCTGCGCCAGTGAGGACAGGTCAGCCCCGACCCGAGCCGCTCGCGCCGCACGGCCTTCTGTGGGGAGCCCGAGGTCGAAGCACCCCGCCCA